AGGTTGCTACTATAGAAGTCACCGATCCTCTTTTAGCTAATTTAGGTAACGTCGAGACTAACGATATTAAGCTAGATAAGGTTAATTAGTCTATAGTGCTAGATATACTACCAGAGGATATAGAGATAGAAGCATTACATTCGCACGTTCTTAGCGAAGAGCGCGACGAACCGCTTCCTACACGACAATCGACACAACATTAGCTTAAAATACCAGATATTCGGAGGACACCGATAAACGAATTCAACCAGTCACAGGCACTCCTATCCCTAGCCTTTCTAACACTATTTCCTCGTGGTTAAGCTGATTTCATCGAGCTAAGGTTACGGCCTATTAAGTATACGGACTATATATAGCACGCCCTTCGATGGCATAATGGCAGATTTGCCTGCCATCCTACTTTCCGGTTTATGGTTTTTAATACGCTAATGCGAGCATAGGCACGAGCGAAAAGCAGCTACTTCGTTAAGCAACACCAACAAAGGCAGGGTCTAATAACGCGAGATGATCTACTAGAGGCTTTCTAGAACCCTAAATCTACAGAAGCTTAGCAGTTGCTTAACTCGATCAACCGCTAGACAGCACAGCTGCGCGGGACACGACCGTATTAGTACCGAAAGCGCCGAGAGCTCGAGTCTTATGCCTATAACCTTAGCTGCCCTAGTGCTTTTATTATATTTAGCCCGGCAGACTTATACTAGAGGAGCCTCTATCAACATTTACCCTAGTTTCAAGACTAGCAGGAGGTATCCGAGCAACAGCGAATAGGGATGTCTAGCAAACTTCTTAGGGACAACCTATATATTGCAGCCTAGCACTTCTATAGGCGGTTTAGCTTATTTAGAGATATCGTTCTTAAGCAGAAATTTAATATCACTGATTTTTAGAATAGGTATAAGTAGCAGGGTCGTGGAAGTAGCTATTGCCACGGCCTATTCTAGATAGATAGTGCGCCTAGTATTAACTTAGAAAAGGAGCATATACGCTAGGAGTTCGCCCGTGTCTAGAGTTTCTACGTCACAGCCTTCAATCCTAAGCTAGCCCGAGTCCAACAGTAAGGAGAGGGTAATCCCTTGGCTATAAATCCGCTATAGCATCCCTTAACGTTCTAATGGCTCTCATAGATTCTAAACCGCTGCCAACGCCACCATTGCAGTGAGACATACTGCCTACGAAAGAAGAAGGGTTTAGACGAGATTTCTTGCCGCTTTTTCTTCCCCCGGGATACGAGAGATACGGCTGACGTGGTTCGACGCCAAGGACAGTCCTATTTCTCCTTCGAGGCGGCCAGGAATAACAGCCTTTCTTAGTCTTGGCTGGTTAGCCAACATCGATATCTCCCCCTATACCAGCCTTCAAGCCGTTATTAATTACGTAGCCAAGTATTACAGTAAGATAGAGAAGCGGACTAACAGTTATGCGAGCCTAGGGCGGCAAATCTTGCCCTATATCTCCCATCAGAACCCACTTCTTTCCTTTGCATCGCGGCTAATAAACAAGCTGCTCGCTAAGAGGGACTTCTCGGGGCAAGAGATCTACTATATGTTGCTCAACTGCGAGCTCTAGGAGGGTACCCGCGTTATAAGAGCCGTCGATTGCCGTCCCTACGAGCAATAGGGCCGGTCGCTTCGCCTCTAGGGTGATTATAATAACGACGCTAAGGTTATTAGGATATATAAGAAGTATCTTTCCCGCCCTTCCCTTTACGAAGAACTTACCTACCTTAACTTCCTAGCTAACTAGAATATAAGCAAGAGGGATAGGAGAAAGTAAATACGTTAGAGTCGTTAAGCTAAGCCTCGAGTGCTATACTACTTTCCGCGGTATAAGTCGAACCCGCAGTATTACTAATATAATAACTTTTATCGGGTAAAGCTAATGCTTACTTATCTATATCGCGATCCTAACGAACTATATAAGATTAACGGTATCGAGTTTAACTTATACGCATCTACCGCCGAATTCTATTATACGAACTACCAGCATCCTAACGATTACTATAGCACACCTAACGCTAAAGAACGTTGGCTAGATCCGGGTAAGTTCGAGGAAGAATTTCACGAGCCTAACCTTCTCGAGGAGGATTAGCTTAAGCTTACCCGCTAGCTTCCCGACTGCCCACCAAGCCAAGAGATAGTAGATCTCCTTAGTAGACGGGATGTCGATATCTAATACGATTAGACACCCTACGTCGGCCGCTACGCTAATCTAGTAATCGTTTAGGGTGATTATTAGCGCTAGCGCATTGCGCAGAATCCTCTCTATATAGATATTAAAGACCTGCCTTTAGAGGTCTACGATACGCTTAACCTAAAGCAGCGGATAGTATACGATATAATCGTTAGATATTTCTAATACGGCAGCGAGGAGCAGATTCTACTCTATATAGACGGTAGTGGCGGGATAGGCAAGTCCTATCTAATCAAAGTCTTATCTTCGCACCTTCAGAGGCTCGCTAGTAACCGGCCTAGTCTAATATAGAGAGCTACACCCACGGGCGTTGCAAGCAACCAGATCATAGGGACAATATTACACTCCCTACTCCGGCTACCTATAGATAGGGCTTTTAGAGAGCTCTCCCTAGCAGATGTTAATGCTCTTTAGAAGAAGCTACGGGACGTTAGGTATATTGTGATTGATGAGAAAAGTATACTAGGCCTTCGTCAACTTTCGTGGATCGACAAACGCCTCCGCCGAGTCTATCCTATTAGAGCAGCCGAATTCTTTGGCGGCATAAGCATCATCCTCGTTAGTGACTTCTTCCAGCTCCCGCCGATTGCGAATAAACCCCTCTACTTTAATGGGCCGCTCAAAGACCTACAAGAGGTCTCTAGCCAGACGACATATAGGGCGTTTAGCCACACTGTCTTCCTAAAAAAGGTCCAGCGGCAATAGGGCGATGACTAAGCCGGCTTTCGTTTTGCGCTTAAAGAATTACGTCGTCTAAAGCTATCTATTAAGTCATGGAAACTCCTAAGCCAGCGTGTGCAGGCCAAGCTAAGCCAGCGCGAGGTGGATACGTTTGCTGCTGCCCTTCGTATCTATAGCAAGAAAGCCAGTGTTAATGAGTACAACTATGAGCATCTCGTTCGTCTCTGAGTACAAGCAGAAGCTCATTGACTAGGCCATCAAGCTACGCCTTAGCTACCGAGAAGTCACGGACGAGTCGACCACTGATTTACTCACATACGGCAAGCCTCCGCTCGCGCGCCTGTTGCCAGCGCATCACTCAACGCTCTCGCGGTGGGTAAAGGATTCGATGGCAGCACGCTTACCATTCATCATCGAATTTGTGCAGTCCGCACTCAGCACCATCAACCTCTCGATCGACGGATGGCGGGCTCACAATCGCAGAGAGCATATCGCTGTTTACGGACACTTCGTCGATGGCCAAGGCCATCCTCGAACACTCCTCCTCGGCTTCCCACGACGTTATGGCGGTCACACTAGCGACGACCTCGCAGCACTAGTAAAGCTAGTAATTCTATAATACGGCATCGGCGAGAAGCTCGGCTCCTTCGTTATAGATAACGCTAATAACAACGATAAATGCCTCGAGGTGTTATAGCGTTCCTTTTCCTCGATCGATCTAGAAGTAGACCGTATTCGCTATATCGGCTATATTATTAATCTCGTCGTTAAGGCTCTCTTATTTAGCGAAGGCGTTAGCGCGTAGGAGAAGAACCTTATTAAGGCTTCGGAGGAGCAGCGTATAGCTTTCTAGACCCTTAAAGGCGTCATTAGCAAGCTATATAACCTCGTTGTCTATATTAATCGAAACGACGCACGCCGTAAGCAGTTAAGCGCTCGCATGCGCGTTACGAAGACAAGCGACGGCATGCTGTTCGTCGGCGTGCTCCTTAGTAACGGTGGCATTCGATAGAACGCGACGTTCTACATAATCGAGCGTGCTCTTAAGTGTCGGCCTACTATCGATCTTTACTAGGCGCAGTGGAAGCCTCCGGATAAAAACGATAAGCATAAGAATGACTTCCTTACCGAGGCTGATTGGCACGAGCTTGAGCTCTTCTATAGGCTCCTATAGCCCTTCGAGCGACTCACGAAGCGACTATAATGCCGTGTAGATAGCGAGGGTAACGAGGGCGGCCAAGGCTCGGTATAGCAAGTACTTTACGCCATAGACTTCTTGCTTACGAAGCTTAAGAGCGTTAAAGAAGAGATATACGTAATAGATGCTGATAATAAGGACGAACTTCCGCCCTATTACTCCGCAGGCGTGCTCGCTATATAGTCGAAGATCAATACGTACTACGAGCTCACCGACCGATCACCGATCTACCGTATGGCTATCGCTCTCTACCTAGCCTACTAATTCGAATACTTTAGGGCGAAGTAGTAGAAGCGAGAGGATTGGATAAGGACAGCATAGAAGGAGCTAACTGCATATTACGATCGCTTCGCCGTAGTTATAGTGGCCACTGACCACGTCGACCAGGCCGAGACTTCTCCTTATTCCTCGCCGACAATCGACGACGAATTCGATGCTTAGGGCCATACAATGGATCGACCACACCGTGGCAAGAGGAGGAAGGTAGAGACCGAGTAGGAGGTCTAGATAAAGTAGGTGCCGTCGAAGGACGACATAAACGTTAAGAATCCTCTTGCGTGGTGGGTAGACCGACGCCACGTTTAGCCCATTCTCAGCAAACTTGCCCTTAATATCTTTAGTACGCCGGCGATGAGCGCAGAGCTAGAGCGCGTATTCTCCGACGGCGGCGAGCTTATCACCGACAAGCGCAACGGCCTCGGCGATAATATAGTTAAAGCTAAGATAATATAGAAGAATTAGATTACTTCTAAGATTTTGCATCGGATTGCGACACCTCGAGGTCTATACAAATTACCGGATTAGGTATAATATATCAAGTACTTAACAAGTTGTCAATCAAGCTCCTTGACTAGTTAAGTTAAGCTTTAATCGAGTTAGACATACCTTTAATTAATCGAGTTCGATGGTCGAAATTGAACTCGATTGATTATTAGCCACACTGCTTGGCGTCTACTGGATGGCAAGTGTCGGATACGGCGGACGTCTCGTCTAGGCTATTGCCGACGCAGAGAATGGCAGTGTCGTCCGCATAGCCGAAACGCCTTTTTGAGCTGCCCTGGCGGTAGATTGGTTCCGTATATAGTAGGAAGAGGATCGGAGAGACTGGCGATCCCTGTGGCAGACCGCACTGGAGTGGCGATGAATCCGTTACGATATCCTGGTAGCGGATGCGTGCCGACCTATCTTGCATAAACGAGCCGACCCAGCGCGTGAGGTTTAGTGGCCAGCCTTGCTCCCGTAAGCGAAGGATCAATCTATTGCGTAGGACTGTGTCAAAGGCGCCTTATATATCCAAGGTCACCAATGTCGCGACTTGCTTGCGAGCGAACGCCTCCTCGATGTCGTGAACCAAGGCAGCCATAAGATCTATAGCCGACCTCTTCGGAAGCGCGCCGACTTATTGAGGGTGCAACACGCCGAAATAGACCGAGGCCCACGCTAGGCGCCGTGCGATAAGCCGTTCGAGACCCTTGCCGAGATAGGACAAAAGGGAGATAGGGCGCCAGGCGCGGGGTATAGAGAGATCCCTGCGCCCCGGCTTGGCAATTATGACCACTTCTGCTTCTCGGAAGGGCTTCGGATGGTGGCTAATGCTGAGGCAGCCTTTATATAGCTAGTGGACGAGGCTTCCGATTGCATGCTAGACGGCGCGTAGCATTCGCACCGTAATATTATTAGAGCCTAGAGATATGTTCCCGGTGCGTAAGATGGCATCGCGGGTCTCCTTAATAGAGACCTAATCGGCGAACGGTATCGTCGTCCCTGCTTTTACGGGAACCCACGGGTCTAGGATGTCGTCGTTCGCTATGCGCCGTTCTAGAGTAGCCTGTCGTAAGGCGGTGGCCTTTTCTAGCTACGTCTTATACACTCGTCTATCTACTTATAGGGGAGGCGCTTAAAACGAGCCTAGAGATTTCAGCCAGCGGACCGCCCTAAACACGGAGGCGCTGTCGGTGAAGTTATCGATTAAGTCGCGCTAGTAAAGGCGTTTTGCCCGGCGCACCACCTTATAAAACTCCCTCTTAGCTAGCTATACTTCTCGGTCGAAGCTAAGAGGGTAAACTCTCCTCTATGCGCGGTAACTAGCCGCCGCCTTTGCGTATTCTTCGGTCTACTATAGCGCGCTATGCGTAGTCTTACGAGCAGGTCGACTAGCAGCTCTAGCTATATACCTAAGAAGGTTTATAAGCGCCGACGTAAGGTCGTTAAGCTCTAACGGAGATGCGGTGGTAACTAGGATAGCGGCGGCGCCGACCTCTACTAACTTAACGAACCGCTTTAATTCCTTATCGGAGCTAAGATAGATCTTCCCTATCGGAAGAGATGCCGGAATATACTTTAGTAGTATAATGCTAAGGGTAAAATAGTCGGAACTCGTTGCTAAATAGTCCTCGATAATAGCGTCGGCTAGGGGTATATTTAAGAAAGCGAGATCGACCGTATTACCGTGCGCGTTAGTCGGGACATCGATAGGATTTAGTAAGCTAAGTCGATTATCTAATGCCTAAAACGCTATATCTTCGCCGTGGTCCTCTCGACGACCGGCCTACTAGCTAGGATACTTAGCATTAAAATCACCCGCAATAAGACACTTATCCGGCGCGGTCTACCGAAGTAGCGTTTCTAGGGCCTCGTCGTAGTTCGGCTACCGATAGAAATTAACTATAGTAATACCGCTTATAGTAAGCCAAAGAATATTATAGGTCGCCGTAGGTCTCCTTTAATTAATAACGAGGCCTACGGAGCGCCGGACGTATATTATAACTCTCGGACGAGTGTCGCGGCTATCTTAGTCGGTAACGGGTAAGAATATATCGTAGGCCGGATACGTCTTAGTAAGGCATCGGCCGTCTTTAAGTCCTATCTATAGTTCCTATAGTAGGATAATATCGTATCGCTCCGAATTAGCTAGCGCGAGCGTAGTATTATACGCCGGAGGGATCTTGCCTACGTTAGCTTAGAAGACTCGTAAGGCCCTCCTATCGCTTCGATTATTAGGATAACGGTGATATATTAGGGTAGCGTTATAGGGCTAGTGCATCGTTTCTTCGATAGGACGATAGGGGTAAACTAGTTATTATTGCTAGCGTGCGGCGGCGTCGTAGCTACGATAATATAAGGGGGTAAGGAAGCGGCTCGCTCTAGAGTAGCGCTTCTACTAGAGCTTCTATCCTCTCTAGCTACCTACGACTCTAAAGAACGTAACTAACTCGAATTAAGGCTTTAATAAGACTACTCGGGCACGTTATAGTTTAGTATCTATCTTTTCTACTACGCGAAGAGCTAAGCTCCCGCCTACCTTACTAGACCCTTCTCCTCTTTCGTTAGGCGCCGTATAATGCCATAAACGCGCTTAGGGCGGGCAGGGCATTTAGGGTTATTAGCGCAATATAGCCTAAGGTAGTTTGCGCACTGCTCGAGGGCTGCGCACTCTTAGCTACGATGGTTAGTCTTGCCGTAACGTTTATAGCGTGCCGTCCGGTCGCAGCTATAGCGAGCGTAGAAATCCTAGCATTTATCGTATTAGCTAGGAATGCTAGGTTTATCGATATAACGGGCGAGACGGCTAGCGCCGAAAAGTCTCTAGGGTCTTTATATAGGTTCTAGGAAGGACACAATCAGGGTCTAGGTAGGCATATTACCCGAGCCGTGTCGCGATAGACGTATGCTAATAGGCTTTAGTCCGGTTTAGCAGGCAATCTCTTCTTTAACCGCCTCCTTATAGTTAATCACGATACCTCGTAGGTCTATAAGCCTACGAGGACAATCGGCTACTACGTACGAATGCTATTTCTAGCTTATCTCTACGGCCGCGGCTTCTAGGTCTATAGCCTACTCCGCCTGCCGTTGCATAAGTAAGTCACGCGTAGCTATATCCAATGCCTAGATAGCCTAGCCCGTGTTTACTGGGAAGGCTGCCGGAATACGGCGCAGGTTAATACCGACTCTAGCGGCGATATAGGTCCGGATTACGTATCTTTCGTGGTTTCGGGCCGGAGCGTTAGCGTTAAGTCGGACGAAGACATAGAGGTCTTCCTTCGGTAGGGCTACGGGCGGTCGTCCTAGTAAACGAGTAGTGGTCTATGGTTTTCGCTGTGGTAGGGCGGGGACTATAAAGGCTAGCTATCCTTACTTCGGCTTGCCGGATGCGAGAACGCTGCTATACGTAGGCTTCGGTAGTTCCTCGAGTTCGGCAAGCGATTAAGTCTAGAATTTAAGAAATTTAGTAGCGACTTACTTAGCGATGCTATTTTCGGTGCTAAACGTAAACTACTTTACTGCTTATTCGAATAATTCGCTAAAGACCCGTAAGACTGCTAGCTTAGCGTTATAGGCTGCCGTTTTATAGCGAGCAATCTTTGTAGCCGCTTCGAGGATTAAGACTAGCGCGTGCTTAGTAGACTAGGCCGAGTCGAGGAGATTCGGGGCTTCTTCTAGCTACGCTCCTTCCGTAACGGCAGCTTTAGGCGTTTCGGTAGAAGAGATTAACTAGGCCAGCTGCTAGGCCGCGGGAAACGCGTCGTGTCGGCGAGCTTCCGTCGGGTAGCGAGGTCGGAGATACGATATATAAGCCGCTAAATTTAGCGGCGATCGTATGCCTTATCTCAAGGTATTAGAGTCGATATACGAACCTAAGGCTAGTGCTATAGCCGCTGCCGGCGCTTACGCGCGGCTTAATTAGAGTTTTATTAAGAGCACTTATTAAGCGAAAGTAAATAAGAATAGGCTACTTTCTTAACACTTACGTGCTAAGAAAGTAAAAATACAAGGAAGGATAAAGATATCGTACGTTCCCCTAAGCTATATTATTATTATTATTGTATTTTACGTCCAGCGACCTTTAGGTCGCTTAGGTCCCCGAGACGGGGCATAGGACGTGCTAAGCTGCTAGAAGTCTATAATCTACTTATCGATATAGCAAATATAGGGTGACCTATAAAAACGCGTAAACGAAATAAGCGCTAACCCGCGGTAGCTGTCCTTCTATAGAACGTATACAATCTACTATCTAGTATTTTATCGGCTTAAAGGCGCTCCTTTACTTAGCCTATTGCCCGTTAGCGGGACGACTAGGCGCGATAACATTATCTTTTATATTACCTTAACGAGGCAAACTTCGAACGAGATAAGGAGCTGCAATATAGCTCGATTAACCCGGGCGGGATAAAGGGTGTCGCAACACCCTCCGCCTAGCCGAGTCGAGGAGAGAATACGCATATAAAGGAAAACGGGGAAGGAGGGGAAGAGGCGCAGCCGCCTAATAGCGAAGGTAGATCGTCCCGAAGAACGAGCTTGCCTTCGCTACCTTAACGAACCGGTCGAAATTTCTTCCTATTGCTCGGTTAACCGCGGTCGGTGAGGGCGCTAGCCTTATCCGAACTTACCGCGGGATCTTCCTATAGTAAAAGAGATATTTTAGCTCTTTTCGTCGCCTACACGAGCACGTTAGTCGTGCCTCGTTATAGTTAAACCTTTTATAGTAGTTAGCGAAGTCCCTATAGTAGGTTCTTACTACGAGCAGGTAGTAGAGGAGAGGTCGTAGGATAGTAAGTTCTAGCGGGCAGCTAGTCGTGGCGTTAAGGTCGAGGACCTTATATTGCTAGGGTATAGACACTTCCTACTAGGCTTTAAACGCGTCTTTTAGTCGCCGCCGAGCGACCTTACGTAGATATGCTAGCGTCGGGAGAGCATCTACCGGTTCGGGTTAAGAGGTTCCCGCCTTAGCTAAGGCGTCGGCCTGCTCGTTACCTAGGATGTTAGTATAGCCGGGAATCTAACGGATCTCGGTAGCACTATATTCTACGGCTAAGGCCTAGAATTCTAGGAGCTCTTTCTAGGACGAGTCTAACGGTATGCCTCGTAGGCACGACGCGACTATAAGGTTATCGTGGCATACGGCGATTCGTTCTAGCCCTAGGAGGCCGAGAGTAGCACGGAGCCCTTTAAGGGCGCCCTTAGCCTTAGCGTCGAAGACTTTAGCGGGACCTAGGCGCCCGTTTCTATCGAGGACGGTAAGTCTATCTAAATATATTATATAGCCGTACCCTACGGCTCCCTTTATAGAGAGGGATCCGTCTAAGTAGACGATTGCTATTCGTAGAGCAACTAACCGGAGCTAGTCGCGGAAGTTAGCCGCTAATTCCTCCTTCGGTATAGTTTATAGGGGCTAGCCGCTAGCGAATCTACGTAGAAGGAGCTCTAGCCTAGCGCATCTAAGTAGTAGCTCGTTAGTGCGACGTAGTCTAGTCCGGAAAGGCTTTCGTAGAAGCTAATACTTTAGCTTAATAGCCCTATTAATAGCGGGGCCCCGTATCGGCTTCGTTCGCGTTATAAGTAGATATGCTTTATCGAGGGACCTAA